CATAGCAAACAAGTTCCAGATTCATGGCACAGTGCACTTAAGATGATTCATAGTTTCTTCTTTAGATTGTGACTTCACGTCTGAAGGGGAAACACTGGGCTAACGGTCTGATAGCTGCTACTACGTATCGATGTCATGGCCTTTCTGACAGTCAGCCTCCTCATTGTAGCAAACAGAGCTGCCAGTAATCCTCACCCGAGGACACTTTTGCATTTGTCTTGTGATAGAGCGGGAGGGAGAGAGGGAGGAAGAGAGAGAGAGAAACATCGATGTGAGAGAGACACATCAACTGGCTGCCACCCACACGACCCCAACCAGGGCCGGGGACAAACTGCAACCGAGGTACATGCCCTTAGTGGGAACCGAACCTGGGTCTCTCTGGTCTGCGGGCCGACGCTCTAACCGCTGAGCCACACCGGCCAGGACCACCCATCCGCTGTCTAACAAATTCCTCTGCTAAAGCAGCAGAAAGAGATGGATGCCCACGTTGCTAAGCGCTTCTGCTGGCACACGCAATGTGATGCCCCCACCTTCTGTTTCTCTGCCCCTCGTTTGCCCCAGCCCAGCCCAGCCAGGTGAAGTCATTTCAGCGACTGCAGGCAGACTTCTGTGCAGGGACACCGCTGCTGTGCTTTCTGGCTTTGAGTTCGGTGGCATCGCTTCGCCACGCTTTGCTCTGCGTGCGCGCATGCGTGTGCCCTCTGCCGGGGTTGAGGAACTGGGACGTGGCACGAACTCGCGTGCCCAGAGGGCATGTTGCAGTGCAGTGGATGGTGTTCGCTCCCTTTCTGGCTCAAGGTCTCAGGTTTCTCACCTTCGGGGGTGCAGACTAGTGAGAAAGAAGTCAGGCCTGCTTAGATGGGAGGGAGCAGTGCACGGTGTCATCTTCGGTTAGTGAAATACGCCTCCCGAGACACACAGCAGGTTTGAATTTGGAAAGTGATTCGGTTTGGATCCCAAATTATTCCTACTGTTATCACTGAATTGTGAAACCTGTGGTTTTCATTTTCATTGATATTTATTCCTATCTACTTCAAAAAACTGACAAGAATTTATAAATTAGTTTAGTCCTGAGTAAATGGGAAAATGCTGTAATTTTTGGTTAAATTCGTGAATGAGAACCACAGCATTTTACTTTGAATGATTTCTTCTGACTGAAATACACATTGCTACATTTGTCTGTGTGTGTGTGCGTGTCTGTCTATCTATGTGTGTGTGTGCGTGTCTGTCTGTCTATCTATCTATCTATCTATCTATCTGTCTATCTATGTGTGTCTGTGTGTCTGTGTGTCTATCTACCTACCTACCATTTGTATATCTATTTACTGATCTAATTTAATTGGAAATGAAATGAAGCTATCTTGTCTTGGGAGATAGTACTAAAGAATTTAAGAGCACTCTTCTAAATTATTGTTCCTCACGTACAAGACGATCTAGATTTAAAGGTGGTGGAGCGGTCGTCATGTACCTCAGGGACATAGCTAGTCAGGAAGAAAATAGGGTGAAACCCAGGTCTGTCCTGTCACTAAGGATGTGGATGTGGCCAAGTTCATGTCCCCTGCAGCTGTACTGTAGTGATTATTCCATCCCTTGAGCTTACCTTCACTTCCAGTTTTGTGTTTTGGACAATTTCCTATTCCTGGAATTTCTTCCTAACTTTCTCTCCCTTCTCCTCTCCTGCCTGGTAAAACCCCCCACTTCACAGCTGGCCCACCCGTAGGCCATGTTATAACTGAACCGGAAGCCCAGGGCAGCAGAGGCGACACGCGGTTACACCACTTAGAAGCCTTGCAGCCAGGATCGAGCATAACGGTTCTTTGTTGTTGTAATCCTCACCCGAGGGTATTTTTCCTTTGAGTTTTAGACAGAGTGGAAGGGAGGGAGAGAGAAAGGGAGAGAAACATCGATGGAAGAGAGACACATTGATTGGTGGCCTCCTGCACGACCTCAACCCAAGCCAGGGATCACATACCTGCAGCCCAGGCCCCTGCCCTTGACCGGGAATCGAACCTGGGACCCTTTGGTCCTTGGGCCCGAGGCTCTAACCTCTGAGCCAAACCGACCAGGGCAAACAGGTGTTTATTCCTCTCCTGTTGATTCTTTCATCCCGCCTACATTTTCTTTTGAACTCTTCTTGTACCACAAATGTTGGTTGTAGAGGGGACTCTAGAGCAAGGAAACGGGTTCAAGTCCTAATTCTGCCTTTCAGGAGATTTACAATATTGGGTAGATTACTTAATATTTTTGTGCCTTGGTTTCCTCATCTGGCAAATGGGGATGATGATAGCATCTACCACGCAGGGTTGCTAATGAGGAGTAAATGAATGCTACTTGGTGAGCACTGAGTGCTTAGCACAGAGCAAGTATTATATGTGTTTGTTAGAGCAGATAAGATGGAGCCTGTGCACCTGAGTTCTGAGGGTGTGCACTGAAGAACCCCCGGGGCTGGGGGTTGGGAGCAGGGTGCCTGTCGACAGGTCCTCCTCTGTGAAGTCGTCCCATCCCTGCCACCTGTGAAACACTGCTCCTCTGCCACCAACAGCACTGCGTGTGTTCCTTACGGGACCCACTTCATGGTGACCTGCTCGGCTGTTCTCTGCCACTGTTTGGTCCCCTTTACAGACTGCAAACCTCGCAAGGGCGGAGCCTCTCCTGGCCTTACTCATCTCTACCTTCTGATCCCCATTCCCAGGCTTGGTGGCTGTCTTCTGATCCCCATTCCCAGGGCGTGGTGGCTGTCTAGCTGGGTTTTGATGTTTCGAACAGTTGAAAAGAAGCATTCACTTTCTGCCAGAAAAATACCCAAGCCTGCTACTACCTGAAGGAGTTGACTCGTTTCTACTGACATGATTGTCTTATGTAATTAGGCCAGCTGCCCTTCAATGAAAGGTTTTTTTTTCTAATTTTATTGCATATATTAATTGCATAAGTTCAAAATAGATATTGAGTCGAATTGCATACATAGGTGTACACGCACACGCGCACACAGGCAGAGGGTGCTTCAGTTTCTTACACCTTCATAGGAAGAATTCACCTCGGAAGGCAGTCGGATAAGCTGGTCGAGTTGTGTGTTTATAGGAAGACTGATCGTGGTGGTTCATGAACCGGTTCTTCTCGCCTCATAGGCATTGTGGCTCCTCGTTCTTGGGGACAAAGCTGTCACCCTCCCTCCTTCGTTCATAAGCAAAGTGCTAGGAAGCTCCTGCATCATAGTGTAACAGGCGATGTCCTTTGGCACCAGGCTTGAATTTGAATAATGGGTTCTGCTGCTGCTTTGTTTTTTGGCTAATCCTCACCGAGGATATTTTTCCCATTGGTATTTAGAGAGAATGGAGGGAGGGCTGGTAGGCATTGATTTAAGAGGGACACATTGATTGGTTGCCTCCCCCATGCACCTCAGTGGGGGCTGGTGATTGAACCTGCAACCCAGGCACATGCCCTTTAATGGGAATCGAACCCGCAACCCTTCAGTGCTCAGGCGGACGCTCTAACTACTGTGCCACACCGGCCAGGGCTGGATTCTGCTTCTTAATGTTTGTAACTTTGAAGTCTCCGTTCTCTCGTCCATAATGTGAGGACAGTACATACCCCCCGAATTTGTTGTGTAGAGAAAATGCCTGGTACGTAGTAAGTACTTGGTTAGTAAATACTTGTGTTACCACTGTACAATTACACAGCCAGGAGAGATTTCTGTTACAGGGTAAAGGGCTTGAGGAAGTCCCCGGAGGAAAAGTATGTGGAAAATCAGTTTTCTTATTCTCGTTGGAAACATGGGAAAAAAAAAAACCTACTGTTTTCTCTTGCAAAGACAGCAGAAAGCTTCGTGTGTTCTGTCCACGTCTGAAACCCCTGTTGGCCTGCGCCCGTGGTGTGGAAAGCCAGAGTCGTGATGGGCTGCGGGGAGGTTCCCCGGGCCTCACGCCGCTGCGGAAAAGCAGCCCCTGCGTGGAAATGGGTTCAGGGCAGCCGTGGGTGCCCACGTGCCTGCGTATAATCGGGCAAAGCGAGACGAACCTCATCTCCGTCGTCTTACTTTTGTTCTCATCAGAAAGCTGTTTAATGGAAGAAGAGGAAGGATGTTAGGAGCATAGTTCTAGTGGAGATCCGTGTTGGAAAGCTGGAGAGAAACTGTCTCGAGAAATACATTCTGCACCTTGGAAAGACTTAACTTGGTGAAGATAAAAATCCGCCAGGAAGCCTCATTCCCCTAGAAGCGTTGTCAGATCTTTCCGTTTTACCCGAGCGGGGTTCTGTGGGGTGGCGAGCGGGTTGCTGCTTCATGGCACAGTTCCTGAGGTCTCTGCCCGTCTGTACCGTGGGCACCACCGCCCTGGCATGCCTGCTCCCTCAGCTGGGCTTGTAGCCATGGCATTGTGCACCTCTCTGTGAACCAGTTCATCGAAGTCTGCCTCGCCTGGCCTGCGCCCGAGAGCAGAAATGATCATCTTGGCCTTGAATTGCTGACAGTAGCAGAATCAAGTCAAGTAGTTTCGTATTTCCCAAGGTGCTTCATTCGATCAGTTGTACCGTGATTGCCAGGCAAGTGCTGAGGGATCTGGAAAATTCCTCCTGTGTCACCCGTATGAGTGACCTTCTCCCTGTTGGGTTTTCCGATCTAGCCCAGTTCGGCGGGTCTTAGACTTCCCAGTGTGTGCCAGGCCTCCCGGGAGCCTTGAGCGTGCTCCCTTTCGTTCAGATTGAACAGCCACGGTTCAGTATATACTGAGATCTTCGGAGACTGCTCACGGCTGCACAGATGCTGTAGGCGTGGTGACAGCCGAGGTGCAGAGTTGCCGGCTACTTGGTAAGGAAACTACTTCGTGTTGGCAAACAGCTGGAAGTGGAGTTGGAAGAAATTTGGGAGATTGCTGTCACAGCTCAGAGGAAGGGGGCTTCTTGTAGGAGAGGGAACTCGTCGTCATGTCAGAAGAGAGGACCGGCGCGCGTCCCTTCCAGGAGCAGGACTCTAACTCGTCGTCTTGTTCTTGCGTCTTCTCTAGGTCACGACTGCTGTGAGACCGTGAAGGTGCTGCTCTGTGCTTCCAAAGAGGGCCTGCCCGTGTTCGTGGTGGCCGAAGAAGACTTCGAGTTCGTCCAGGACGAGGCTTACGACGCAGCCCAGTTCCTCGCCACCAGCGCGGGGAACCAGCAGGCGCTGAACTTCACCCGCTTCCTTGACCGGTCAGGACCCCCGTCTGCGGATGTGAACGCCCTCGACGAGAAGGTGGCCCTGGCGTTCCGACACCTGAAGCTGCCGGCCGACTGGAATGTGCTGGGGACCAATCAGACTCTGCATGGTAAGAACTCAAGTGACCCGAAACACACGCTGAGTTTGGAATACTTAGCGTTTTTGTTTTAAAAAAAATTTTTTTAAATATGTTTTTATTGATTTTTTTTTTTTTTTAGAGACAGATAGAAACATCGCTGTGAGAGAGAAACATCAATTGGCTGCCTCTTGCACGCCCCCTACTGGGGATCGAGCCTGCAACCCGGGCCTGTGCCTTGACCAGGAATCAAACCGGGACCTCTCAGTCCACTGAGCCACCAGCTGGGGTGGACTACTTAAAGTTTTTAATGGGGCTGCTTTTTATACGGTCACTGCCATCAAGTCTTCCGCAGTGGCTGATTCAATGTCGCAGTTGCTGTGGCCAAGTGGCCATGGTGGCATCTCTTCCGGGTTCTTCCCCTGAGCTGTTACGCCTGTTTGTGCCGTGAAATGAGAGCTAAGAGGGCTGCTGTGGCCATTGTCACTTCTCATTTCATGTGGAGAGTGGCACAGCCCCTTTCTGTGGGTCCCCATCTCAGGCTTGATCTCTCAAGTGTAGGAAGTTAGCCATCCTTCATGAAGAGAGCAGTACAGTAACTTTTAGTACTTTCCTTTGGTGTTTATCAATCAAAGACAAGGTTTTTATTCTTGTATTCTGGAGTTCTCTAGCGAGTCCATGGAGCTGGAAGAAAGGAAACTTGGGGTGTGAGTAGGGGGGCCTGAGAGCAGGCTGAGCTCTGAGAAACCCTCCCTCCCCCCTCCCTCTTTTTGGCGGTTTTTTTCTTTGTTTCTCTATGATGATGATTATTATTGTCATCATTACTTTAACCCCATACTCTTTCAACCAGATTATTTTCACTCTTACTTATTTACTGGCTCTCCATATGAGAGTTCATGGAAGGAAGGGCTCTGCTTTTTAAAATAAACACTGATGTAATACAAGTGTAATAAGGATCTGTGTGTGTTCCTCTTAGTCAGATAGGGGTTTTCCCAGAAAATTATGCGTGTAGCAAATGCCAGCTACTACATGTCATGGTTTTACAAATATGTCTAAATGAAACAGTGTATACTTAGGGTCCAACAAACAACATCCTCTGTCCCCCCTGAGCTCACATCCAGTCCTCGAATGGTTATTCCGGGTGCCGTTTACGAATCGCTGTCAGGATGGAGTGCATTAGTTGTCTGTGCGGCTGATGGCATTGCCGTGGTGTGCGTCCGTTTGGAGAAGACATAGGAGTCGGATAGTGTGTGCATGTTACAAGAAGTGCAGTGCACCCTGAACAGGTGGGTTGAACTGCTCAGGCCCACTTCCACGTGGTTTTCAGCCCGTGGTTAGGAATCCACGTGGGCGGGGCGCTGACTTAAGTTACATGACGTGCCTGTTGCTCAGAGGTCAACTGTGTTAGAAAAAGCTCAGGTCTGAAACTGAAGCTCCTCACTTCTCTCTGGGCCTTAGCTTCCTTGTCTTCAGTAGGGAACTGACCAGCTTTAATATTTTTGTGGACTTTCCACGTGCTTCTTAAGTTTCTGTTGTATAAAATGGCTCAAGCGGCACTAGCAGAGGTTAAATCAAATACGAACACTTAGGGGATGCATTAGAGGCACAGTAAGGTGCCACTGCACACCTAGGAGGAAAGCTAAGATTAAAAATACCAAGCGCTGTCCTGGCCGGTTTGGCCCAGTGGTTAGGGCGTTGGCCTGGGGTCTGAAGGGTCACAGGTTCTATTCTTGGTCAAGGGCATGTACCTGGGTTGCAGGTTTGATCCCCCGCCCTGGTCAGGGTCATGCAGGAGGCAACCAATTGATGTGTCTCTCTCACATTGACATTTCACTCTCTCGCTACCTCCTTCCCTCCCACTCTGTATAAAAAAATCAATGGAAAAATATCCTCGGGTGAGGGAGGGTTAACAAAAAAAACCAACTGCTGACAAGGGTGCAGAACACCTTACATATTGCCGCGGGAGTGTGGAATGATATCGCCACACTAGAATACAGTCTGGCAGTTTCTTACAAAGGTAAATGTACATTTACTGTATGACCAGCAGTCTTACTTCTAGTCATTCGTGCTAGAGAAACGAAAGCTCACATTCATAAAAAAAAATCTTCACACAGCTATGCCTATGGCAGCATTATTTATAATCCCCCCAAACTGGAACTAACCCAGATCTCTCTCACTGGGTTAATATATTAACAAGCCATGGTACATCCACACAGTTGAATGTTACTCAGCCATACAGACTGTCGACATGCGCGGCAGCTTGGATGCATTTGAAATGTGTTGTGCTACGTAAACAGTTAGTTTCCAAAGGATATTTAGTGCATGGCTTCACTTATGAGATCATAAATGAAAGGGCAAAATTACAGGCACAGAAACTAGATTAGCCGTTGCCATCTCAAGGAGCAGAGCAGTATCATGAGGGAACTCTTTGGGTGTTGCAATGACTTTGCATTTTGGTGGCGGTGATTATAAGAATTTATGCATGTGTTCCAAATCATTGCATTGTACACCCCACAAAAGTGAATGCATACAAGCTTAAAAGAACAAAAGAAAGTGAACAAGTTAGGTGTATACTTTGCAAGGTGAAATGCATCCAAGAGTCTTGCATGCCTTTGAGTCAGCAACTGGGATCAGGAACCTGCTTTCAAGACCTAGATTTACGTTCTGCAGTTTTAACTGTTCAATTGATTGTGGATTCCAGTCTACGAACATTGAGTATTTTAAGGGCAGAGTAGCTTCACTTGAGAGACGCTTGCTTGCTTGCTGTGGAGGGAAGAAGGTAAAGGAACATTCTGCTTGCTTCTAGTTGCACATCGAATGCTTTTAAAAAGGTGTTTAATGGAAGAAGGTATGAAGTAAGCCTGTTTTCTGGGATAATGATGCAGGTAAACAGGGCACTTCTTACATAACAGGACTACTTGCTGTTGAAAGTGAGGATGTTGACTGTTGTTCCAGCCTAATGCCTGTACAAAGGAGTCATGTAAGGCTAAGGCTTAATCCTCCTACTAATTGTTTGGATGCAGAGATCTTAGTTTTTTATTTTTCAGGTCAGTGACTTCTTTGCCAATGGCTCAGATTTCTCCTACGGAAAAAAAGACATAAAGGCCTGTGAAAATTTACATTTAATTTCAGGGATTCCTAGCCTCCTTGAACCGCAGGAATGAACACGACATCAAGAACTTCTGGTTTGGATTTGATCCTGTAAAACGGAACGAACAGGCAGTAGAGGGAGTTTATGTCCTGGCTTCATTACGAGAGTTTGTGCAAAATGTTGATCTGTCTGTTTCTCAGTTTCTTCGTGTACAGAATGGGGGAAAATATATTTGGCTAATGTGTGCTAGTTAGCAAAGCTGTTCATACTGAATATTCTAAGACTAGTATCCAGTAACCTTTTAGAGACAAAGTCTTGAGCTCTGATGATGGAGAGTAACGTGGCTTAGGAAAGGAACGAACAAGAACGGTCAGGGCACATGCCTGGGTTGCGGGCTCGATCCCCAGTAGAGGGGTAAGCAGGAGGCAGCTGATCAATGTTTCTCTCGCATTGATGTTTCTATCTCTCCCTTTCCCTTCCTCTTTCTCTAAAAATCAAATGGAAACATTTTAAAACATGAGCGAGAGGGAGTTTGTCCATTTTAATTCTTCCAAGCGTTCTTTGCTCTCCAGTCACATAAAGCAGACTCTACTCTGTCTTTTTGCCTTATTTCTGCCTTAGATGCAAGTTAGGATTCATCAGAGTGGAGGGTGGATGGAGGGGTAAGGCTACCATCCCTCTGAGTTACCAAGTCTCAGTAGTTTTAGCTTGTTAGTGCTTTGGTGGTGAGTGAACATGGTGAGTTGTTTTTTCTACCGTAAGAACCTGGTACAGAAGTCAGCATCCCTCTCCAGTGATGGTTGAAGACTTGCTCCGAAGAAAGCAAGGAGGACCGTCCTGGGGGAAATCCCATTATTTAGTCATGGGATCATATAACTAAGTAAAAAGAAGCTCTCGTCATCTCTGGGGGTGGGGATTCTCCTAACAAAGAGAACTTTGGTTGGAGAGAAGGATGAGGCAGGTTTAAGAAAGACTGTACCCAAAACAGCCTGTGCGTGCTCCATTCTCTGTGTCTGCTGTTGGTTACTTAGAACTTCAGCCATAACAATTTGCTCTTTCCACACCCCTTCGAAACTGTCCGATCGGCTTTCATGCACATTTTGCCTTAGCTGTGCTCACTACTATTTGTATATTTTTCCAGCTCTCATCGTTACTAAAAGAGAAAAGAATAAATCAAAAGACTGCTGAGGATTATTATTATTATTATTTTTCCCCCCGGAGGTTCCCCATCTTGACTGCAAGACAACACTTGCTAGTAGTGGCAGGGCTTTGGCTCCCCAAGGTGGGTTGCCTGTCAGACCTTGATTCTGCCATGACAACTGTCATCTTTCCCAAAGGCCCATTCCTCACACCGGCCCTGTGTCCTCCTTCCCCACGGGGTGTGAGAATTCCTGCACCAGGCGGGACCTCAGGCGCGTTTGAGGGTCAGTACAGAACAGTAGAAAGAACGGTGATCTTGGAGCCTCGTAGATGGAGATTCAGAAGTTACTGCGAGCAGGGCCTCTGGGTGGATCAGCAGGGTAAGAAAAGTGTACACATATTCTTCGCCTACCGCATGGTTCGTAGAACTCTACGGCGTTTTGCTCAGCCCGAAGGTTCAACCGTTTGAAGAAGATGCAGCCGTCTAGCATCTCACCGTGGCGGGATGCCCTCAACAGCTGTCTCTGCACATCTGGGCGACTGTGCATTTGCTTCTAGCATATGAGTAGATAGAAGGTGGGACTTCAGACATGTCCTGTTGCCTTCTCTGTGGGTAGGAGCTGGGGCACGCATGGATTGTTGCATGTGGATGGTTAAATAGGAAAGCCAGCCAGCCAGCCTGTGGTCACTGCAATAACACGACAGCACACAGAGAATGGGAAAGTTCCAGAGTGTTCAAATGGAAGGCTCTTCGGCCCTGGCCGGTTTGGCTCAGCGGTTAGAGCGTCGGCTTGCGGTCCGGAGAGACCCGGGTTCGGTTCCCGCTAAGGGCATGTACCTCGGTTGCAGTTTGTCCCCGGCCCTGGTTGGGTTGTATGGGTGGCAACCACTCGATGTGTCCCTTTCACGTCGATGTTTCTCTCTCTCTCTCCCTCCCACTCTATCTGAACAAAATATCAAAAAATGTCCTTGGGTGAGGACTAAAAAAAAAAAAAAAATGGAAGGCTCTCCGAGTATAATTTTCTTTAAGAAACCCAGGAAAAATTGAGAAGAGCTTTTTCCATCCGTCCTTCAAAAGATCGAAGAAGGCAGACGTGTAATGAAATCAGAGGAGGAAGCAACGGGAGGAAGAATAGGTTTAATGAGTGCGTCAGTCCGATTTCAAGCAGAGAATCAGAATCGGGAGGAATAAAGACAGATTAAGATTTATTACAGGGACTGGCTTGCACAATTGTGGAGGCCGGCTGAGCAGGGCCGAGGTTTGTAGGGCAAAATGAGAAGATCACAGGCAAGCTCAGACCCCCCAGCGTGAACCAGAGGTGTTGTCCTCGGACGCTAGGACGGGGACACCCTGAGTAGGATGGAACTCCTCGGGCACAGACACGAGCCGTCCTCCACAGGTGGGACTTCTCTCTCCAGGGTGACCTCAGCCCTGCTTTGGAAGACATCCCACGGATTCAGGCCCCCCCAGCTCATCCAGGATAATCTTCCTTATTAAATCAACTGATCAGGGACTTTAATTACATCTGCACAGAAGCCGTCACGGCAGGGCAGAGATGGAAAGGGAGCTGGTTGACATGATGTAAGGACATGCAGAGTCCCCCAGCATAATTCAATTCACACTGGGACAAAGGACCCAGCTGACATCATAGGAAGTGCAGGCAGTGACTGATAGGCAGACACACTTGAGTAAGTCTCAGGATAGAAGGAAGGTACAAAGGATCATCAGAGGGGGGGAAACAGAGAGGAGAGAACAGAGATTGATCCTAAACTCTAGGTTTAAACTAGAGTTTATTTTTTATTTATTTATTTATTTTTATCCTCACCCGAGGACATTTTTCCATTTTTTGTACAGATAGAGCGGGAGGGAGAGAGAGGAAGAGAGAGAGAGGGAAACATCGATGTGAAAGGGACACGACCAACCAGGGCCGGGGACAAACTGCAACCGAGGTACATGCCCTTAGCGGGAACCAAACCCGGGTCTCTCCAGACCGCAGGCGGACGCTCCAACCGCTGAGCCAAACCGGCCAGGGCTAAACTAGAGTTTAAACTGGTACAAAAGGAACAAAAGAAACTGTAGTGGATAATTTTTTTTTTTTTTATTAGAGGAAAGCGTATGACAAGATGCTTTTGAAAGCACAACATTACCTAGATTTTTACGAACAGAGGCAGGGTGTGGGATAATGGTTTTTAGGCTCAAGACAGAAGAATTTGCAGATCCTGTTTGTTCTTGCTGTGGTCGAGTGATTGACCTGTCTTCGTCTCCAAAATGAGATCCTGGGACCTCAGCACAGCTGTTCTGAGAAGGAAAGAAGTTAATACAAACTGCTTAGCCCAGGTCCTGCTAAAGAGATGTGGGGGGGATGTAGGTTCTGGAATTGGGGTACCAGCTGTGGGCAGGTTAGGGTCGCTGGAACTCTGCTCTTACATGCTGAGCTGACTCAGAGCGAATAAGGGATCGGAGAGGGTTGGGGTGTGGAGAAAACTCCTTTAAAGAGGTATCCCCTAGCATCTCTTTAAAGTTAAGGCTGGATAGAGGACGTATCAGATATTAAACTGATAAGAACAGATCCTACACTTGATCTTAGCCAAAAGGCCGAGAAGCAATGCAAATTAAAACAACTATGAGGTATCACCTCACACCTGTCAGAATGGCCACCACCAACAAATCGTCAAACAACAGTGCTGGCGAGGGTGTGGAGAAAAGGGGACTCTAGCACACTGCTGGTGGGAATGCAGACTGGTGCAGCCACTATGGAAAACAATATGGTGTCACCTCAAAAAGTTAAAAATGGAACTTCCATTTGACCCAGTGATCCCGCTTCTAGGAATATTACCCTAAGAAGCCTGAAACACCAATCAGAAAGAATATATGTACCCCATGTTCATAGCAGCACTATTTACAATAGCTAAGATCTGGAAACAGCCCAAGTGTCCACCAGTAGACGAATGGATAAAAAAGCGGTGGTACATATACACAGTGGAGTACTACGCAGCTGTAAGAAAGAAAGATCTTGTATCGTTTGAGACGACATGGAGGGACCAGGAAAGTATTATGCTAAGCGAAACAAGCCAAGCAGAGAAAGAGAAAGATCACATGATCTCACTTATTTGTGGAATATAGTGAACTCAACAAACTGATGAACAAAATTAACCCAGAGACATAGAGGTGGGGTACAGACTGACAAGCCTCAGAGAAGGGGTGGTTGGGGAAAGAGATAAACCACAGAACTTACATGCATGTGTGCATGACCAATGGACATAGACAACAAAGCCGGGGATGGGGCGGGGGGAGGGGTAGGAGGGGAGGAGGGTGTCAATGGGAGGAAAAATGAGAAACATTTGTAACAAAAACAAATTAATAAATAAAAATAAATGAAGTTAAGGCCGGAATGAAGCAGTCTTTAAATTTAAGTCCCACAGCTCCCGGTCGGTGCCTGTCGGCTCTCTTGGTTTTGCTCAGGCCCCCAGGGTGCTTGTGATCCGCTTCAGGCACACGCGAGGTGGCCGTGTTGGGTCTTTTCTGAAGGGCTCTTCTGTCCTTCTGTGTCCCTTGCCACCTGCTCTGACGTTGGTTATTGAAACGTGTGCCGGTCTCTTCCGGGCGTCGGTTCCTTTCCAGCCGGTGCCTGCTGAGCAGCTGGAATGGGTCGGTGCGCCTAGTTCTGTAGGGAAGATAACGTACGAAGGTAGCTTTTGCTTCCAAAACAATTGCCCTTGGCAGTAGGGCGGCCAGACCGACCCACACACGGCATTAGAAAGCAGTGCGGTTCAGTGGGAACCAGAGGTTTGAGGTGCACACGTTCTTCTGCGCCCTTCACCTGGAGCAGCGTTGAGGACTCGGTATGGATGACAGCAGTGGTCCCAGGGCTCCGGGGGTCCCAGCGAAGAAGCTGAGACCCGAGGGAGGCCGCGGAGAAGGAGAGAGGTCCGCTAAGCTGACGGGCACCACTCGGGCCCCAGTCACATCCCAGCGTCCGCGTGCTGCACCCCGGAGCGTCTCGGCTCCTGCCATCGAGTGGGGCACGAGAGGACGTCGGGAAGAGCGAGTGTCGCCAGTGAGCCTGGAGGGTAAACTGAGGTTCGGAAGGACAGAGGCGAGAGCAGGGAAGGGGAAGCTTCCTGGCATTTCACCCCTTTGTTCCCGCAGCCCTGGCATTGAGGTCGGGCACCCCACTCTAGGCCTGAAGAAGATGAAGCTAAGAGAGGTTAAGTGGGTTCCGCCCAGTCCTGCGGGTGCTCACTGCCAGGTTTGAACCCCGATCTGTCTGACTGCAAAGCCTTGCTCAGTTCTCCACTTTCTGGGCGACTCCCTGTACCAGGAACGAGTCTTCACTTCAGGTGACAGAAGCCCAAACCCATGTTTTTCTTTCTGAAGTTACTACTATATCATCGCAGAGTTAGTCTTACGTGTTACGCCTCGAGATGCATTTCTTTCTTTCATTAAACAAACAAAAGAGCCGGCAGGTGCCAGCAATTTGATGTGCCCTTAATATGGGAGAATAAAAAGACTTGTAGATACTTAACAAGCAGAACCTGTTTTTAGTGTTTAACGAGCCAGCTCCTGTCTGGGTGGTGTTATTATTATTTTTTTAAGTAATTATACCCTTTATGATACCCCCACCTAAGCCCTAAAGCCCCAACAACGCTCCCCGTTGGATTTTCACATTGTGAGGTTACATCCACTGAGTTTTGTTTGTAAGGAAAAGAACTCGTGTGGAATCATTCTTATAAATCAGCTTATGTATCAATTTGTGGCAAATGCATTCAATTAGAATATAGAAAGGGCTGGATTCTGTTGCGGGGCGGTCTCTTTTGGAGATTTCTCATACTTTTTCCCGGCTTTATTTTGCTTCTGCCCGAGAGCTGTTTCTCCTGGGCCGCAAGTGAATTGCTCGTGTTGGATGCTGTGGCCCGAACTGGAGGATCTTAGGTACTTGGAGGTGTAGTGGTGGTTACTTCAGCTGTCTTTTTGTTGGCTGCCTTGTGTTCCCACATTCTCCTCTCGCTTATTTGTATCTTCTCCCCCACCCACAGATGGTGGCCCGTGCGAGACACTCATGCATTTTGCTGTGCGGCTGGGCCTGCTGAGGTTGACCTGGTTCCTGTTGCAGAAGCCAGGTGGCCGCAGGGCTCTGAGCATCCACAACCAGGAAGGAGCGACACCTGTGAGCTTGGCCTTGGAGCGGGGTCATCACAAGTTGCACAAGCTTCTGACCGAGTAAGTGCTCCTTCTCCCTCCCTCCTTCCCTCCCTCCCCGCATCACCAGCCCCACCCTGATTCAGGGTGGTGCCACCCACTTGGCATCTCAGTGTGGGTTGGCCACAAATTCGAACCACAACTCCATGCTGTGCCTTCCGCTGCTGGGGACTTGTAAGCCTGCTTCTGCTCACCGTTTTCCTGTCTGCGAATGACATATGTAAGTCCCACCCGCGTTTTCTCCCCCTACTTTCCTGCCTTCACTGCGTCTGGCCTCTTGCTGTTACTGAAAACTCAGAGTATGTCTGTGGGGGTGGCGCTCCGTTCCATTACCATGTATCCAGTTTATCCCAGCTCAGTTTAAGAGAAACCAGTTTTCCTGTGCCATGCATTTTTTCTGATATGTCTTCAATACTTGAAAGAGTTCATTAAAAATAGATACTTTACTGTAATTGCACGCAGACTATATATACTGAGCCACCGAGGTTTGGTTAGAATGTGATTTCTGTGCATAAAATCAAGAGCAATGGTTTTTTTGTATGAGTAGCAGTAAAAAGCAACTGAATTGCCCTGGGAGTGTGCTGTAGGAAATCCTGTGTGTGTCTGTGGGCTCAGTCTTCAGACAGCCTGACTCTTCAGGGAGTCTTTTGAAGGAAGGCAGTTAGCCAGAACATTCGAAGAATTCTTTTTTTGTGTGTGCAAATAGAGGAGTAAAGGCATTCTAGCAGGTGACGTTTTTCATTGGAGCATTTCGAAAAGACAGAAATTTCAAGTATATTTATTTAATTCAATATACCTTTTATTGTTTTATGATCATTGGCATCTTTCTGCTACGTAACTGAAGAGTGCGCCTTCTTGGATCTGCGTTCTTTAGCAATTGAGGGACCCTTGCAAATCAAAAGTCATCATTTCCAGATTCTTAGATATTTTGCTCACGTTAGATTTAACTTAGTTGCAGTTTATACTTTACTGTTTTTAGCTCAGAAGGCAGTGGCGCGTACTGTTATATAAACAGGTGTTGTGTTTGGTTTCCGTTTGCTTTACGTGCCAAGCTTATAACTTTCCCACTGGAGCCGGACAGGTTCTTTGCAGAAAGCTTTCTAATGGATGCGCCAGATACGGTGACGGTAGGAGGGCCTCTCTTCATCTCGGGTGAGCTGTGGATACTTGAGCCCATGACAGTGTTCCAGACACCGATACGCTCCATTCTTTCGTACTTCCCATCTGGCCAGTGATTGGATTCCCCCTGCCGCCTGCCTCCAAGGCCTAGGGAGACAGGCCTTGTTCCAGAGGTGGAAACAGTTCCCTCGGTATAACAGTCGTGCGGTTCGAATGCAGCTCCTCTGAATGTGTCTGGCAGCTCAGAGTTCTGCTGGGAAGCAGGCTCGGTGAAGGATTGCCACCCAGATGCGGAAACGAAGCGGTTACAACAGCTTCATTATATGCTTGGCGAGGGTGTCACAAGACTTCTTGCAGCTTTAGGGAAACTAGAGTGTTTGTTCCTGGAGAAGAGCTGTTGGCTCCCTTCCTCTGTTACATGTGGGAAGACCACTCCTCTTTGGAGGGAAGGAAGTAAGGGAACCAGCCCCAGAACTGCACTCAGGACTGCGGGAGGAGAGCGAGCACGCTGGTCGCTGCCCATCTCGCCCTGAAACGGGACTCTTTGGGCTCATCTTCTACGCGACTGTTCTGTGACTTAGAACAAATGTTCGGAGTCATAATTAGCCATCTAAAAAAGGTTACGGGGTGATTTTTATTAACCCCCACAATCTCGGTGTGATATAATAGACTTTGCTATAGTGTCGAGTATAAAAAGCGTGTTGCTTTGGTGAGTGAATGAAAGAATGCACGGGCAGTGTGTATAGCCCAGCGACTGATAAAAATGTTACCTCTTACTGACCCTCCCTCCCTCCCTCCCTCCTTTCCTCCCTCCTTTCCTCCCTCCCTCCCTCCCTTCCTTACCCGAGGACTTTTTTTTTTTTAATATTCAGATAGAGTGGGAGGGGGAGAGAGAGGGCGAGAGAGAGAGAGAGAGAAACATTGACGTGAAAGGGACATATCGAGCGGTTGCCACCCACACGACCCAACCAGGACCAGGGACAAACTGCAACCAAGGTACATGCCCTTAGCGGACACCGAACCCGGGTCTCTCTGGACCACAGGCTGATGCTCTAACCGCTGAGCCAAACCTGCCAGGACTTACTGACCTTTCTTTACTTTATTTTTTCCCCCCTCACCTAAGGATATTTTCCATAGTTTTTTTTTTTTTTTTTTTTAAGAGAAGGAGGGAGATAGCGAGAGAAACATCTATGAGAGAGAGAGAGAGAGAGAGAGAGAGACTGATTGGTTGCCTCCCACACGACCAGACTAGAGCCAGAGATCAAACCTGCAACCCAGGTACTTGCCCTTAACTGGGAATTGAACCAGCGACCCTATGGTCCGCAGGCCAGCACTCTAACCGCTGAGCCAAATCAGCCAGGGCTTATTGCCTTTTTCTTAATTTTCCTTTCCTTCTAGGTCTATACGATTTTTTTCATGCGTTAAGTCAGTTTTTCCAAAATCTTGAAATATTTTCCGGCAGCCTCTGGATGTCCCTACGATAAGAGTTTGAAATGCTTGCCAAGGGTACTAGATGACACTTTGCAATAAATTAGTTCGGTTCTCCCATGTCTGCTGTCGATGGAACGGGGACCTCTGTCCAAATGTTCAGGAACCATTAACAACGTGCCACCCTTACAAAGGGAAGATTTCTTTTAAGGATTTTGACTGGTGAGGTATTTCATTTGCCCAAAGAGCAAGAACAAAAATGCTTGTCCTCATCACTTTATCTAGTTTTCAGCATCAGTTCCACGAATCTTGAGTTCTCAGATGCCTGCAGTGCATTGTGGGTACCTACAGATAATATTCCAGCCCACCTTATGACGGCCTTTCTGGACCAGCCATTGGATGTGTTTCGCTGATGAAATGTGGTGGCTCAGGGAACTCAAGTGACTAGCTCAGTGCTTTAGAGAAAAGTGGTAAAACGACTGTTCCAAGTACATCTGTGGAAATCTGAGGCCCATATTCTTCCCTCTACAAAAGTCTGACCGACGGAGAAAGACTCAGGCAGAGGCCCCTGGGATAGAGTATGACTTGGCCTTAATTAGGCAGGGCTGTGAGCTTCCCATTGAGTCCCAGCCTCTGCTTCCCCGAGGGAACAAGATTCTCAGTACCATAATCTGATGTTTACATTACCCATCATATAGGTTTAGAAATATTTGTGGTTCCACTTAGCCTTTCTCTTTATACTTTATTCTCATGGCAACTGAACGAGAGAGTAGGGTGGGTATTGTTATCCCTGTTTTGTAATTGTGGAAACTGAGGCCAAAGAGGTGAAGTGACTTGCCCAGAGTCATAAGGCTGCAGAGGAGCAGAAGCAGGCTCAGGCCAGTCCAGGGATCTGTCCAGGTCGAGATGGCTGGTGTCCGCAGCAGAGAGCCGCGGAGCGCGGGCCCAGCCTGAACGCGAGGCTGGCCAGCACGCTGTGCTGCATGGGCGATGCTGGCCCCTTCCAAAGACTCTGCGTCTAGAGTTTCTCAAGTCCTCCTTTTGACACATTTGCACTCGAAACCTGGGTTCAGGGTCAGAGGGTAGAGTAACTGCTCAAGTGTACGTATTTCACAATAGAGCCAAGTGCAGTTGAGCAAGATCTGTTCACACAGCGATTGCCTTTTTAGGGTCCCCTGGACAAGTGGGTCCTCAGTAGCCCATCTGGTGCGAAGCAAGTGTTTTGGAGCCTTTGCATTTGCTTAGGGGGCGGGGGAGAGTGAAGTAAATATACAACCTTCAAAATAATAGCCAGGGTTTATTCTTTAATGCTTGACATTCATCTTGCCTAATCCCCATCCGTCTGTCCATTGGTCGGTCTATCCATTTATCTGTCCCATCGATTCATCCATCCATCCATCTTCCTATCCTCCTTTCTCACCGTGTGGTCAGGTCTTTGTGTTTTGGTAACGATAAGGTGGTAGAAGTGAGTGGGAACTAGAACGTGGGGGAAGGGCAGGGACATTGATTAAATAGCGAACATCTGCTACATTGGTGCTTTGTGTGCGTTTTCACTGAGAACTTCTCAGCAAACATCTAAGGTGTGGTTAGATTAGTACAGTCAGTACTGTATTCTTCTACAGGTGGGAAGTAGACCCAGAGAGAGAGACTGAAGTACCTTGCCCCAGGCTATAAAGTCAACAGTTGCCATTATTCATAAGCCTGTGGTTTTTAAACTTCATTGAAATAATTTTGTGAGGAGTCATGTTCTGTGACATTGTCGAATCTTTTTTTTTTGTTTTTAATCCTCATCCGAGGATATTTTTCTGTTTATCTTCAGATAAAGTGGGAGGGAGGGAGAGAGAAACATTGGTGAGACACATCGTCAACTGGTTGCCTCCTGCATGACCCCAACCAGGGCCGGGACTGAGCCACAACCGAGGTGCGTGCCCTTGGCTGGAATCGAACCCGTGACTCATTGTTCTTCAGGCTGACCCTCTAACCGCTGAGCCAAACTGGCCAGGGCCATTGTCAATCTTTTAACCAAAGTAATTTGGTTATGATGATTCATAGATCTGGTTTTTAGTGACATTTTTTTTCTCCCTTTTGAGAAAAAAATTTTTCACCAGAGCATTTTAAGAATTTTGACACTTCATTATTTTGTGTTTTTGTTTTTGTTTTTCAAGCCATTCAAATAGTAATTTCAGGATTTCCCCATCTGGCAACACGCTGAAAAATCGCACTTGTTTCTGAGGCTAATATTTGTATTTCTATAACAGCAACACTAGTTGCCATTTATTTTATTTCTGTTAGACATTTTGCATAAATTCGCATATATTTTATCCTCTCCCCAACCCCTAGGGGGTGGGCATTTTATCCTCACTTCAACGGGCGACCACCATAGCTGGTAAGTAATGGAGCAGTCATTGAACCTGCTCTTGAACTTCGTTACACTGCCCGGGACTCTCTGGGAACAAGGGTTGTGTTGGAAGTTG